TTGGCTGTTATATCAGCATTTTTTACATCTTACCCACACAATACAACAGTTTTGAATCTCTCAGGTATGGATTGCAATATTGGAAAATATTAAATTAAAATATGAAGTTGTTGGTCTATTAAGATATTCGGGTCGAAAACTGCAACATGTGAATTTGTTGTTGGTAACTGAAGATTGCCATATCAAAAGTGATGGTGATGAACGACATACTTGTGATGTTAACTGTTCCAAAAGTCATTATTATTGGATAAAAAAACTTGTTACACTTGGTATCCAGTCAAATGTCGAATCAAGAAAATAGATTATAGTTTTGTGACGGCTGTCTTATTCATTTCGAGTCACCGTTAAAGTTGACGATGAATCAAAAACATGATTGTAATCATGTATACACATTGACACCAACAAGCGATTCAAGGACTGATAAATTTGGAAACCTTGTACCGGAGAATAGGTATAATGGAATTTGGAAATATTGGAAAACAAATTGCGTGTTTCATTTATGGTTTATGCAGACTTTGAATCAAACCCTAGTGAACCAAACCCTCATAGATTTCACACAATAAAAAGCGTCAACAATAAACTGTTTTCTTTTGCATATCTCCTAAAATGCTCCTTTGACAATTCAGTTTCTAATCCGCCGTATCCACCATCAGAAAACATGAGCTACAACAAACGTGGTACACAGGTTCAAGACCTGGCGGTCTCATATCGCCCTCAAGCACTGTAACATGATGATGAACCTTCTCATTTCCATATGTGCGAACTACGGGATACGGACCTTAACACGATATCCTTTTTTCCAATCCTCAGACCCCGATAGTTATTTGCCTGATATTTTTAGTAGACGAAATAACACTTTCGTGTGATATCGCATGATCATCTGTCATGGTTGATGTTCTTCTTAGTTTCAAGAAGAAATGATGTGCTCTCTATGTGGTGCACAGTCCGAATTCTGTGACCATGAAAATAGATAACCAAGGATTTCCACTCAATGACATCAAAATACAGATAGCCGATCTCCCATTCATAAACTGATATTTGTTGTGTTGACAAGACCACCCATGGACCAGGAGAGGTGAGTTGCTCGCGGAGTCGGGGTGGGGAGACATCATTCCTCAAAATGGCGTAAAAAAAATCTGCCCACATGTGAATATATCTCAAAAATTAATTGGATGAATATGAAATGACAATTTGATAAATAAACTGAAAATATTCGATACGAGCACTTTATTCTGGGAGTACCAATATCGTATTGGTAGGTTCTTGTTTAATGCTAATCAATAGTCCCTGTGTGCGATAAAGATAGCTAGCTACTCCAACCAACACCTGCCCGCCATCGAACAACCCGCTTCTGGGCGGCGTTCTGCTACAATCCGCTGTTGCCAAATTGAGTTCAGAAATATAATTGAAAACGTTAATTAGGAAAGGGGGGGTTCAAGACAAAATTTGGCATTCTCAATGGTGGGGCTAAATTTTGTTTATTGTTCGGTCTATCTGTGTTTTCATGTCATTGGGTGTACCCCAATCCCAATCCGCCGCCAATGATGTCAGTTCCAACCAGCATTCAAGTTATTGAGTCCACCAGTTTTTGTGACGGTGGTCGAGTAAAAAAATGTCATTGAAGCAAATAGGCCATACCAACTAAACTATAGTCAAAATATTTTTTCTAATTCTGACATTTAAAGTGACACTTTTCAAAACTCGTTGACGTTATCAAATGCCTTACTTTGCATCACCAGTTACGAAAAGTAAAACTTTTCGCAACTGGTGATGAAAAGTAAATTTCATCACTAGTTGCAAAAAATACAAGAACACAATCTGTGATACTTTTGAGGCTAAACTACTTGAAGTACTTTGTTGTTATTATATTCTCTATACGTACGTACATATTATGAAGATTTTATTTCATTCAAATTGGTTTCATAATATGACAATGTATGGAAAAAAAAAGAAAAAATAGGTACTAATTAGTTATAAATATTAATTCTTAACACAATTTGGAAAATTATTGATGATATTGACCAACATAGTTTTCTGTGTAGCATTATTTAAATGAATAAATTAAATGTTTTTTTCCATGGAAGTCTCTCCAAGGATGTTGGTGACAATTTCCTGTTTATTATAGTTTTGGAATTCTCCAGATAGTCCTTATCGGCTTTATTAGACTTCCACCCACCATGCTATTTAATTCTGAGGAAATCAGCCGCAGAATCTACAAGCAGAGTAGGTATTAGTTGATGATCGCCGAAAGCAATGACCGGTTTGAGTTAACAAATTAGACATTGAACAATACTGGCTTCCATAGCAACGGGATAGGAAACATCTCTGAACTTACTTGACGATTTAGAAATAATTTTTTGACTGAAATTTGAATGGATAATATACAAAATTAGAAAAAATATTGTGTGAAACACGTTGGGAAACACTATTTTTCGTAACTCGCTTCCTTTTGCGGAACTCGCTTCGCTCGTTCCGCAGAAATCTGCTCGTTACGAAAAATAGTGTTTTTCCCAACTGGTTGCACAAATAACTATTGTGGTCCTGAAAAGGGCCGATTTTTTTTATATAGGGTTCAGCATCCGCATATAAGACAATCCGCCGGATTCAGTATCCGCCACCAGAAAACATGGCTTTCGACGAAGATGGCACCTAGGTTTAATGTTTGACGGCCTCGAATCACCATCAAGCGCCGTAATATGAAGGTGAACCTTCTCATTCCCATATATCTGCATTACGAACCATCTCTGTTCTACGTGTCACGAATTGTAATACTTCCTACACGTTCTCAGATCATTATGATCCAAACCATCAATCCATTGTTGGGGGATTCGGCTCGTTGTTTGATATATGAAATAATATAGCACTTCCCTTCAATCTCGTATGACATACCTTTATCTTCCATGATTGCATCAAAAAGCGATCACAGGATGGTTAGGGCAAACATAGTGATGTGCTAGGGAACTTTCCCATTCCCAGGGAACGTTCCGGGAACTTTCCTTTAAGGTCGGAAAGGTGAACAAAAACTGGGGATGTTTTTGAAAAAACAAAATTGAATTATAATTTATAGTCTAATAACCTACTACACCAAAAAAACTAAAATGAAGTGGGCGAACCCGTAACCTGGTGAAACCAGCTCTTCTAACTCGCTGGACTATAGTAGTAACAAGTTAGACTCGGACAATTAGGTCCTTCCTTCTAGAATAAATACAGTAGTAATGTAGTAATGTTAACGCTTTTTCACTGATCTCAAGAGTTAAGAGTACAAAGACATAGGTATAAATATTTTTTATTTCCTTAGTATTTATTTTTCATTTTTTTTTTCTATAGATGCAGGCAGTTTTGTTTATTGTTTTAGTTTTTGCAAACATTCCTTCACATTCCCAATTTTAGGGAATGATCCTGGGTATGTTTTCGGGAACTTTCCCAAAGAACACTTTGCCGGGAATCTGCTCATCACTAGGCAAACATCAAAATCAATACAAAACCGAAAAGAGGAAGCTAAAGAACAGGAAAGGATATCTATTATATTCGACAAAACGGAGACCAATTCGAATCGAGCAGCTGAAAATAAAAAACAAACAGATCAGAAGACAAGTGAGAGAGAACAAAGGTCCTAGAGTATTTAGGAAAAAACTATCGGAAGGAAAATCAGAAATAGTAACACTGAAAGATGAAAGGTGAACTACTCTGTTTATTTATCAAATATCAGAAACATCTACTTTATATATTGTCACAATAAGCTAAACGTCCGCCAGGCTGTCAAGAATCGATCGCGGAAATACTAGAATCTAGCGAATTATTCTACTTTAATCTGGAAAATTAGATTATCGTGTTTATTCTAGATTTCACAGGAATAGATTTAGGGATATATAAGAAGGCCGGCATTGGTTTGTAAGTTAGTTTTCAGTTCGACTGTGATACGATTTAAATAGTGATTGTAAAGAGTTTAATTGTTGAGTTTGTTAATAAAGTAATTAGTGTCAGAGTGTTTTGTTAAGTGGAATAAATTATTGCTGTGTTAATTGGACTTTGATTTTTGGAATAAACGAAACGAACAACGAACCCAAGATTTTTGTCAGCAGGCAACCCAAAGCCGCGACAATATTATATTATATAATAAGACAAGTAATGTATTCTATTTGTTGATGGGTAGGTATATTCTTTATTTATAGTGAAATTGTATAATTTTTATTAATTTTTTTAGGATTGTGATAAATAAACTTTACTAAGATGCATATGGAAATAAAATTAAAACCCGAACGGAGATCTTAGTGTACAAACACAGTGCAAGCAGGTTTCCGCTTACCGGTAACCAGCGCCGACTCGCGCTTATACGCGCGAAAAATGAATGCACATTTTTAAATCGGCTAGAACACAGTAAAAAGAAGGTAGAGGCAGGAAGAGGCAGGAACCAGCCTTCTCGCTTTAGCCGGAATGAAAATTTAGTTTATTTCTGCTTTTGTACGCCTCGCGGCAGTGTTTTTTCAGTTCTTGTGATGGATAAGGAGTTACTAATAGCTGCATTTTTGAAAAAAACCCTATCTGGGACAAAGGGCATAAGCAAAATAACAATCGAAATGTAGTCGACAAATATTGGAGGGAAATAATATTCTCCATGCAGGTTTCTTTCACGATTAAGAATATGTATACCAACTCTTTTTATTTTTCTTTAAGTAAGTATGCACATAATCTAGAGCAATCAAATCATGAACATCCGAAGATGACATATTTGCTAGGCTAAAAGTTCGAGACGAGACACAACTGGCAGGTGGCAGATATGAAGTTAAAAAAGATTTTCTCGCTTTTGCAGGTATTCACTCTGTGCTATCTCGGCGCGAGAACACTGTGCAGATCGGTACTGTCTACCAGTAAGCGAAAAACCTGCTTGCACTGTGTTTGTACACTTAGTGTTTTTAAGGAAATTCCATGAAGACTTGTATTCCGAAAAAGTTTCAGAAAGGCAACAGGAAGTAACAGATAAGAGAGCTAAACTGACTTACCTGGAGGGACTCTTGAATCGCTGCCTTCACAACGGGGAAATACCAGACTCCTGGAAAAAAGCAAGTGTTAATATATTGTACAAAAAGGGGATAAAGAGGATATAAGGAACTACAGACCTATTTCACTTCTGTGTCATCTCTACAAATTACTAACAAAAATATTGAACAACATAATCGCTAAGAAACTTTCCAGCCTGTGGAGCAAGCAGATAGCAGGTTTCCGCGAAGGTTACAACACGGAGGATCACTTGCATACATTGCGACAAGTGATTGAGAAATCCCAAGAATACAATCAACATATACAGTGTCGTTATTTAAGTGTGCAACATATGGGGATTTTTTTTAGTGATAGCACAATTCAAATACAAACAAGGCCAAAAGTTGGTGCATGTCTGATAATCATATTAAGTGCACTTAGAATAGTTGCAGCTTTATAGTACAATATCAAAATTGTACTATTGTAATGGGAAAATGTCCAACTTTATAGGTTCTTGACCCTAATATTAAAGAGTCATCATTTTGTTAGTTGGAAGCAATAACTTATATTATTGCAAAATGCCCAGCACAGCTTTCTTGGCAAATATTGCATTAGATTTAAGGTTCATTGTAACTAGGGTAATTATGTCTATGTTGCAGTTTCAATAATAGACCTAACTTTATTATTGTTAAATTATATTGAATAGATTCTACTTGAAACCGTTGACTTGAGCGTATCATTTTCCCAGCAATGTCCCGATAACCTAAGCTATTACATGGCGATCCTGCCAACCGAACTCGTGAATAAAATGGGCATATAAGCAAACGAGTACTAGTTAAAAAAAAAACTATTTTTTTTCTTTCTTTCGTCTCGCCGCGTGTGTTGTGCTACCAAGAAAAAATATATAATTATGAGGAGATGTGGTTCTGAACTCTTACCAAAAAGGAAAATACTTAATAATAAAAATGGGGAAAAATCAATCAAAGGATATCAAAGAGGAGATTATAATTGCACAAGCTGGAATAAGTGGCGGATCTACAACTACCCAATCGCAAACTAATGGTGTTTCTCTTTTGGAAGTTGCAGCTTTGTTAATTGGTACCATTATATTCCTTGGAGTTCTTTTCTACTGCTATAAACAAGTGAAGAAGAATTTGGAGCGAAATATAAGAACAGAAATAAGAAGAAGTCAAGAATTCGTCTAAAATTTTATTACTTATTACATCCAACTCGTCCTGACGATTTTGGTTCGATTTTATCGATCCCATCGAGAACTTCAACCAGTTGCTCCGAAACCGGAACTGGCTTCGAGGGAACGAGCTAGTTGTGGGCGCAATGCCGCTAGTTCGCAACGCTGGATGGTCTGTAGCGTAGCTGGTCTCAGTTATGAAAACCAAGAGGAAATCAAGCTTGAGGAATAATATCTGGGAAATAAATGTCCGTTCAAAAAGGTTAGATTTATATGTATTATGTGTAATTATTATTTTGAATATTTTATTATTTTTTTAACTAATGGATAGTGTAAGGTTGAATGATTTTATAGAGTTGTATACGAATGCTAGAAAGTTTTATGAGAATATTAGTAAAGAACCAATCGAAAGGCGCGAAAATTTAGAAAGGGTTAATAAATTATTAGTAGATACTGAATTATTAGAAAAGAAGCTTTTGACTTTAGAAACAGAATTAGGTGAAATCGAAAGTGAGCCTGAAAATTTAGAAGGCATTACCAAATATATTAAAGGAATAGAAAAATATCTTAATGCTTCTAGAACTACGCTTTTAGATAGGTTAAATTGTATAACAGAAAAACAAGCAACATTACCTAAAGTTGAAAATTTAAACTTAACCATGTCAGATAAATTTGATATTAGAACGGCTGCATCTTTATTGCCTTGTTTAGATGGCTCTGAGGATACAACCAAACAATTAATTGATTCTATTCACCTTTATAGTGATATGCTGAATAATGATGGACAAAAAATGCTAATTAACTATGTTCTAAAAACTAGGTTAACTCAAAGTGCGAAATTGCGATTATCTTTTACTTATAATACTGTGGAAAATTTAATTGCAGACATAAAAACTCATTTACTGACCAAAAAATCTGCTGCGGCTCTAGCTACTGACCTTTATAGCCCTATGCAAAATAATAAAACAATAGACGAATACTCAAAAAATATAGAAAAACTATTTATTAACTTAACTCTGGCCCAGACAGATGGTGACCAAAATAAAATTGCTATTTTGAAAGAAGTCAATGAGAAACTTGCCATAAATGCTTTTTCTAATGGGTTAAAAAATAGTGAACTTCGTACAATTGTAAAAGCTAGGAATTACTCTTCATTAAGAGACGCTACAATAGGAGCCAAAGATGAAGAAACACTCAAATTTTCTAATTCTCAACATTCCGCATTTCATTTACGACAAAACACTAGACCACATTACAATAATTCCGCTAGGGGAAACAACAGGGGTAATCGAGGAAGATTTCAACCAAATTCTAATAGGAATTCGCATACTCACACTTCTAATAACAATAATTTTTCTCGTGGAAGACCAAGGTATGAAAATAATAGCACACGAAATTCGAACTATAATATTGATTACAATACGTACTCTCGAGGACGCGGTTCTAGCCAAGGTCGACATAATAATCGTGGTCATCAAACTCAAACTCGAAATGTAAACCAGATGAATTATCCCACTAACCTCAACAATGAAACTACTTTTCTAGGAAATTCTAATGATTGTCTTAATAATTCCAATTCGAATAATAACCGCGGTCAGGGCCAAGAAACGGGGATCTAAAAAGAGGGTTCACCTCGACATAATTAGAAGTTAACATTTTTTGGTGGGGATCGGTTCATTTTCATGTGCTTAATAACATATTAAGTTTGCGACCTTGTACTTCCATAGGGTTTTTAGTTAGGGGTGGTTTTTAGGGGTAATTTGTGGTTTATGGAGAACGCTGCTCAAAGGGATGGTTCAGAAGCAAAAAGTTTCAAATGAATGTTGTAGCTGTAGTTTTTTGCTATAAAAAACTCAGCGACAGCACCCTTCTATCTTCTATAGTTTTTTTTCTGCAGCGACTTCAATACTAGCATGTTTTTATTCAAGGTCACTGAATCAACGTTTTACCTATTTGCGTGCATTTGATGCAGCAGTGGCTAAATGCATAATCTGATTTGAATTTTTTAAACACCACATTATTGCTAATGAAATGCACTCTCCTACGTACCAAATTTCAGCGCTGTGCGACAATTTTAATTTTTTTCGACTTTTTGAAAAATTCCGCGCGACGTGTTCAGGTCAATAAGTCATTGAGTAATTGACAAAAAAAAAATCCGCTGGGGCAATATGAGAGGAATAAATGGGATGCCGATTGTCGAAAACTGTCACCAAATATTTGGCCCCGTTTAGAAATTACAGTGAATGCAAGAAAGGGGTAGTTTTCGATACAATTTACAACTTCCTCGCACATTAGACAAATCCGTGCTCGCTTAATTTTCAAGCAAAAAATTCGAACAAAAAAGCATTGGAGAGTGCATTTCATTAGCCATAATGTGGTGTTTGAAAAATTGAAATCGGAATATGAATTTAGCCACTGCTCCATCAAATGCACGCAAACAGGTAAAACGTTGATTCAGTGACCTTAAATAAAAACATGCTAGTATTGAATCCGCTGCAGAAAAAAAACTATAGAAGATAGAAGGGTGCTGTCGCTGAGTTTTTTATAGCAAAAAACTTCAGCTACAACATTCATTTGAAACTTTTTGCTATTGGACCATCGATTTGAGCAGCGTTCCCCATAAACCATAAATTACCCCTAAAAACCACCCCTAACTAAAAACCCTATGGAAGTACAAGGTCGCAAACTTAATATGTTATCAAGCACATGAAAATGAACCGATCCCCCCCAAAAAATGTTAACTTCTAATTATGTTGACGTAAACTTCCTTCATTGCCTGGCCTAGAATGCGTTGTTCTAAATTTAAATGGTATGAATTTTGTGCGAGTGCGTTATAGTATGAGTGATTTATTTTTTCTGATTGATACGGGTGCTAGTATTAGTGTAATTTTTTCTGAAAAATAACACAATAATGAATTTATTGATTCGCCAAAACAAGTCAAAATTAAGGGCGTAGGCGGTTCTACTTTTTCTGTATCCAAATATTTTATTTGAAATAAATAATATTAAAATTAACCACTCATTTTTAGAAGTGAATAAATTTATTTCAGACATCAATGGAATTTTGGGTTCAGATTTTTTTTGTAAATATGGAGCAAATATTAATTACGAAAAATTTATATTTTCGTTTTGGCATAATAGTAATAAAATATCAATACCATTATTATCTCAATTTGATTTTAATCTTTCAATACCGGCCATAAGCGAAGCGATAAAATTTTGTAAAGCTATGATGGTGAATATGTTATTTTATTTGAAGAATTGTGTGAAGGCGTGTTTGTTGCAGGAACAATAGGTAGGTAAAACTGGAAATGGCGAAATAGCTGTTAGATTTCTAAACGTTAACGACCATGACATTAATATTGAAAATTTCAAACTCAACTTAGGGCCAATAGCAAATTTTGAAGTGTACAATTTTGATATAAACAACCATTTATCTGTTGACTGTGTTGATAGAGTGTTGGACGCAATAGATCTATCATCACTGAATACAGAGGAAAGGAATTCTATTGAAAAAAATTGTGCAAAATATGCTGATATATTTCATTTAGAGGGTGATCCTCTTACGGTTACTAATCTCTATAAACAAAAAATTCAGTTAAACGAAAACTCTGTGACAGTTTATGTAAAGCCCTATCGTCTACCTCAATCTCAAAGAGCAGAAATACAGACACAAGTTCATAAAATGCTTAATGAAGGTATTATCGAAGAAGCTAGGTGTGAATGGTCTTCGCCTCTTTTAATCGTTCCAAAAAAATCTACTAATGGAGTGAAAAAATGGAGAATCGTAATTGATTACCGCCTCGTTAATAAACAAATAAAAGATGAAAAAATGCCTCTACCTTGTATTTCTGAAATATTAGACTCTTTATCTGGAGCAGTTTACTTTTCTTCCCATCTCGACTTGTCACAAGGGTATTATCAATTGGAATTGCATAAAGATAGTAGACCTTATACCGCTTTTACTACAAATGAGGGTCAATTTCAAATGAAGAGACTTCCAATGGGATTAAAAATAAGTCCAAGTGCATTTTCCAGACTTATGACTGTAGCATTTTCAGGGTTAAACTATGAATCTTGTTTTATCTATTTGGATGATTTAATAATTTTTGGCAATTCTTTACAAAAGCATAATATAAATCTCACTAAAGTTTTGCAGAGGCTTAGGGAAGTAAATTTAAAATTTAACCCGCAAAAATGTGATTTTCTCAAAAAACAAATTTTATATTTGGGTCATATAATTTCATCAGAGGGTATATCTCCAGACCCAGAAAAATCCAACGTAATCTCTCAATATCCTATACCGCAAAATGCTGATGAAACAAAACGTTTTGTTGCTTTTGCTAATTACTATCGAAAATTTATAAAAAATTTTGCTCAAATTGCTCAGCCGCTCA